GGTCAACATCTCTCTTATTTACCTTGTCAGGAAAACCTGACTATCATTTTTTTTTGGTGTTTGTTTGTTTGTTTGTGACAGGTATGCAGCCCAAGCTTGCCTGGAACTCTTGATCCTTCTGCCTCAACCCTCAACCTCCAGAGTGCTAGAATTATAGCTATGCCCACCACACTCATCTCTGGGTCTTGGTTTCCTTGTCTGTGATAGCAGAGAACAAGTGCTATGTAATAGTTAGCTGTTAGTGTCACTAACAAAAATTAAAAGGTAAGAGTGTGATTTTAACAAAATCCCATTACATAGAAATCAGATTCAACAGAAACAATGAAAAGGAGACCAGGTACCCCAAGCAAACCCCAGATTCTATCCAGCTGCTGGTCAAGACAGTAGGACCCAGATGCTCTGAGTTAGTGCCTCAGTGGCCCCTAATCACCCTCCCACTTGCCTTACAGAAGCCACAGATGGCCAATGTGGGCAACCTTGGGACAGCACCCAGCATTGCCAGAGAGCACCTGTGCTGTGTGGTGGTGCTGCTGCCTTAAATTCCATCTCCCCAGGGACAACTTATCCATTTGGCACAATAGGCATAGTGTTTACAGACATGATTCCTTTAGAGCCCCACAAAAATGTTTCCATTTTGGGCAGAGAATGTAGTTCATGGGTAGATCACTTGCCTAGCACACACAAGGCCTGGGATTGATCCCCAGCACTAAAAAGGAAAAAATTCATTTTAATTTATTTTATTTATTTTTTTTTTTTACTAGTCAAGTGCAGTAGTGAGAAGGGGGGAAAGTGTAGAACAAGGAGTTCAATCTGTAACTGACTGTGAACAATCAATTGAGATAACTCACTACCTTCGGACCAGCCCATTTTAATTTATTTTTAAATCAAAAGATAAAAATAACTATAAAAGCCAATGTGTCAATTCATGTCTGCGATATCAGCACTTTGAAGGTTGAGGCAGGAAGATGGTGAGTTTGAGGTCTGCCTGGGCTATGAGCAATACCCTGTCTCAAAAACGAAAAATATTGTGGGGAAGGGAGGGCAGTGGCCCAAATAATGTATACACATGCAAGTATATGTAAAAACAATAAAATAAAATTTGAAAAAAAAATTAAAAAGAAAGAAAAAGAACCCATAATAATAATACATACCACTAAATCCGACCTGGATTATACTAATCTTCATATCAATCCTGTTGTAAATTTTCTATTTTATGTTATTATAAATGGAAGGGCCCGGAAAGCTAAAGGAGCCTAGGGCCCATGAACGTCACAATGTGACTCTGTGTTTCCCTTGTCAGGGACCTGCCCTGTTCTGGCTGGGGACCACAACAGAGGCAAAGCAACAAACAGGAGGGCTGCAGGTGGGACACCAGAAGCTAGGACAGCCCTCCCCTCCCCCGCCCCATCCCTTGGGCTAAAGCTAGAGAGTCCATGAGGGCCTGGAAACAGGACTCAGTCAGGACAGAGGGAGCCTGGAGGATGCCTCCCCATACCACTGCTAACCTTTTTTATTTATTTATTTATTTATTTATTGAGGCAGGATCTTCCTATGTAAACCCAGTGGTCTCAAACTCAAAATCCTCCTGCCTCAGCCTGGGAACAGGGTTGCACCGCACCACACCTGGCAGTGCTGACCTTTTTTTTTTTTTTTCCCAATAGTACTGGGGTTTGAACTCAGGGCTTCATGCTTGCAATGCGGGCGCTTTGTCACTTGAGCCACTCTGCCAGCCCTGTTTTGTGTTGGGTATTTTCAAAATAAGGTCTCTCTAACTATTTGCCCAAGCTGGCTTTGAACCACAATCTTCCTGATCTCTGCCTTTTAAGTAGCTAGAATTAAAGGCATGAGCCACCAGCACCAGGCAATGCTGACCTTTTAATGGTCAGATGGGGATGGTCTAGTGGGGAGGTAGGGAGCGACCTCTGGACAATGGCCAGGTTTATACTACAGAGAAGTCTGGTCTCGAGAATGATGAAGCAGCTTATTTAGCTGGTCTACTTTGATGAGTTCTCCATCCCTGCCCTGACAGATATCCCCTGGCACTATATCCTGAGAGTGAACCACACTAACTCATCTCCTTTGAGCTCCTCATCCTCTCCAATTCAGGTTCAGGCCTTACAGTGTCCTTTACCTTCTCAGATGTCTCTGTCTGAAAGGAGCAGAGGTCAGAGTCTCACAGAACTTTTTGTTACCTGTCATGCTTGCTGCTTCTTTCTGGCAGAACTGGGGTGTGAGGTCAGTGTCTTGCTCTTACTAGGCAGGTGCTCTACCACTTTAGTCTCTCCCCCAAACCTCTCTCCACTCCCCCCAGCCCTTTTTGCTTTAGATATTTTTCAAATAGGGTCTCATGTTTATACCCAGGCCAGCCTGGACCTTGCTCCTCCTATTTATCCTTCCTACCTAGCTAGGATAACAGGTGTAAACCGCCATGCTCAACCTTATAGTGGTTAAAATGGGTGTCATGAGATTTTTCCCTGGCTGGTCTCAATCCTCCCAACTCAGTCTCTCCAGCACCTAGGACTGCAGGCTCTCAGGCTTGCTTCTGTTTGGTGAGCAGGTGTGTTTGATTTCAGGCAGTTTAGAGGAACCCACCACACTCCCCACTTCATATCCTCACAGATTGAGATAAAGGAAACCTAGGAGGACGTGTTGTGTCAGAGCCAAATTTTAAGTTTTCCAGAATTTTTTTAGAGCTGGGTGCTAAGTTCTTGGTGACTGGAAATTGACCATGGTGGGGGGGTAGTATTTATACCAGGAAAATTTGCAGATTCTACAAAGCAGCTCCACACCCCTGCCCAGACTGAGAGAAGAATCACTCATAGAAAAACAAGGGGCTTTGCTGATGGGAAATTTTAGATTTTCTCCCTGAATTTCTCATTCTGGTAGCATGGCAACTGTCTATACTCCCAGCACAGCCTTACTCTTTGATATTCTATATGGACATTGACCAGATGACCCTCAGCAAGTACGAAGCCATCAACATACATACCTGGCCACGGATACCATAAACGAATGAATGATTCCATCTTTGCCATCTCACCTTCAATCATGGTGCTATAATTGGCCCTTGGCAAAGAGGTCTGCAGGCCTTGTCAGTGCCCTCTAAAACCTGAAGCTCTGGATGGTGAGTTCCACAGGCAAGTGGTGCCAATGGTGTTATGGGAATGCAGAGGAGGGAACCCCAACCCAGCATGGGGGAAAAGAGGGTATTCCAGGGACAGAAAACAGCATAAGTAAACACAGGGTAGACATGGTGGATGAGAGAAGTGACACTCTGTTTAGTATCCAAGGTAGGCATGCAAAGGTTGCTCCTGAAGAGCAATAAGAAACAAGCCATAGTCTAGCAAAAGGAGATTAGATCCTATTGGACATAGCTTAACCAGATCAATGGGTGGGGGGAGAAGATGGGGAGGGAGAGCAGCAAAGATGTGTCCCCAGGTTAGTGGTCAAAAGGGAAGGAGGGAAGATAGACTAGAGGGAGAGTTAGCCCAGAGGCTGACAGAGTGTAGGCTGACTGGAATGGGATTGTCCTAGAGAGGAAGAGTCAGGCTGATTCTCTGAAGGTGGTGGTTGCCCAGTGATGGTCATGAATGGGGCAGATTCCTGGTGTGGTATGAGATGAGGGTGGAGGGAAGATGGCAAGTTCAGTTTTGAACACAGTAACTCTGAAGTGCCAGTGGGATGTGGGGGAAAAAAAAAGTTCCCTGAAGGTCACCTCCTTTGAGGTCTGTAGAGTTAGTTTGTGGGGCTCTACAGAGGGGACAAGGTACTTCAGGTCAGTATCAAGAGGGCAGAGGAAAGAAAAGTCTAGAAGTTTGGGAGCTTGTGACTGTGTGGCCCCAAGCAAGTGAATTGACCTTTCTGGCTCTTAGTTTCCCCTTCTGTGAATTGGGAACAACATTGTTCTTACTGAGTATCTTAGTGAGGTTGACCTAGAAGTAGGCCTAAGGCAAGGAGTCAAAATGGAGTATTTTATTTGGGAAGTGACTACAGAAAGCCCCAGCAAAAGTATAGCAAAGTGAGTACAGGGCAAGAAGGAATTGGAAAAGGATGTGTTCAAGAACAGATCATTGCTATGGGCAGCAGGAGCACAACCCAGCTTCGGACACTGGGCAATGAAAACCTGCCCTCAGAGAGGGTTTGCACAAGGGGCAAAGAAGACAAGATATTTCTACCAACTCCTACCCACTCTTGGTTGAGGCTGCTCCCTGAAGTGCGACCTTCCTAGTATTTCTAGTCTTTAACCCCATAGCAAAGAGCTGCAGATAATTCCAGTCGACTACAGAATAGCCAGTGGACAGGACACCAATGTGTCTGAAACACCTGTGCAACAGAGATGGGACCAGGCTGTCACTCTGCATGTCTCTCCTAGCCAGAGCTCCTAATCCACTGAGCAGGATTCTTGTGTTTAAGGGTACAAACTTTTGGTACCATTTTATCCCTAGTCACCAGACCACAATTTAAATCTGCTACCCAGCCAAAGAAACAATGTTGTGTCCCAATGCCAAAAGGAAAATGAGAGGTAAGATTTTCAAGAGGAAGTAGAACTTTATGGGAATTGTGCCAGCAGGCCAACCATCCCATGAACATCCAGCTACTCAGAAAGTCAGATTGTGTCTCTGTGAATGTAACAAAACACCTGGCCCCTCCCTTTAATGTCACCTGTGTGAGCAGGAGCAGCCCCACAGCATCACCACCACCACTACATTCAGGAGATTTCAAGTGTGTGCAAAGAACCTGGAGACACCCCTGAGAATGGAAACACTGTCCTGGACCTCTTGGCCTGCTGCTGCCTCTCCCCAATGCCTCCTGGATGGAGCAGCTGCCCCTACCCCAGTGTCTCTCCCTCTCTCTCTCTCTTTCTCTCTCCTCACACCACACACACACACACACACACACACACACACACACACACACACATCACACATACTTGGACTCAAGTTGAAGACTTGGTCATGTTGAGAGGGAAGAGACAAGACAAGTGAGACAGAGGCCTTGGGAATTTGCTTTCACAGAGTTTATTCTTCAGAGTTCAGAAGCAGGGCAAGGTAGACCCTAGGACTCTTCCATGGGTGCAAGATTCTGAAAAAAATCCTTGATTTTCTGGCCAAGTCTCTCAAGCTTTTCACCAGTCTTCTGCCCGCCTCTTTGGAGAAAGCTACCCAGCTGGGCAACTTTCTTGAAATGCTGGGGCTGTGTATCAGGAAGAAACAGGTTCCTTGTGGGGCTGGATCTGTGGTCAATCCAAGACCCCTCCCCACCTAGACCTCTCCTTCTGGGCACCACCAGGAGGTTTGTGGTCCCAATTCAGCCTCCACATGCTTTGGAGCATGTGTTGAATCCCTACACCCAATAAAAGGATGAAGAAACTGAGGCCTGTAGCGGGCAAGGGGCTCCCCAAAGTCCTGAGAGCTCATTACTCTAAGTCAGTGCCCTCAGTCATCACAGGAGTCAGAATCCCCAGGTGGGCTGGTTAAATAACACATTGCTAGGCCCTGTTCCAGAGTCTAATTCAGTAAATCTGAGTCAGGTCTGAGAATCTGCATTTCTAGCAAGTTCCCAGATAAGACCAAATTTCAAGAACCACTGTTCCAAAGTAATACTGAGCTGCCGGGCACCCGTCATCCTCGCTACTCAGGAGGCAGAGATCGGGAGGATTGTTGTTCGAAGCCACCCTGGGCAAATAGTTCCATGAGAACTTATCTTGAAAATCCCTTCACAAAAATAGGGCTGGTGGAGTGGTGGAGTGGCTCAAGGTGAAGGCCCTGAGTTCAAGCCCCAGTACCTCAAAAAAAAAAACAAAAAAAGGAATACTGGGCCAGCACTGCACATGGGGTTCAGGCTGAGAGAGGAGCCCAGGGGAGGGGAAGAAGGAACCCAGGAGAGAGAAAGGAGGCTTTCTCTGCCCTGGGTGAGGCAGGAGCTAATCAATCTACAAGATCTATTCAGCCCCTGCATCCTACAATAGCCCACTCACCACCACATCACAGGTGATGTCAGAGGAGCCCCTGGCCTGGTCGAGGGTCACTGTCCCCACACACCGTCTCACCAGCTGGGAAGAAGAAGCTCAAAGTCAAACCAGAACCCCTTTGCCATAACCCCCAATCCCCACCCCAGTGGATGGAAATGTTCCCCACTGTCCCTTTGTTTAGCTGTTCAGGCTGCACCACCCAGCCCCACTCAGCCTCACTCCATCCTTCTTGAAGTCACACTGCTGCAGTGGCTGCTGTGTTGTCTTGGGACACACTGTCTCCTTCACTGTGAACCTCACAGGCTTGGGGGTATCTGGGTCCTCATCCTGATCAGAGGAGGAATTGAGGAGAACAAGAATGACTCAGGTACATTCTTGCCTTCTCTGATGAGTCACCTTGACCCCCACTAAGACAACAGTCTTTCATCAGTGAGTGTGGACAGCCCTAAACAATCTCTAATGAGGACTGCCTCTACCTCTGGGATGAGGACAGGGAAATCAGGGACTTCCTGAGGAACCAGACACATCCATTGGAACCAGACACATCCAATGGAACCTGAAGGCTAAGCAGAGTTCTTCCTTGTGTTGGCATAACAAGGTATGGAAAAGACTTAGACTTAAAGCAGGGGAAGTCACCTCTTGTCCCTGAAGGTATCAAGTGTCCCTGCAGCCTTTGTGGGATGAGATTGAGAGCCACCTCTGCCATTGCTTAGATTCTAAGGATGAAAGCTGTCATGCTGGGATGGAACACAGTTCTAGGATGTTTGCCTGGAAGAGGAGGGCCACACTAAAGGGGGAAGTGCCTTCCTGGCAGAAGGTGTAGCAGGAGCACATTGTGACTAAATATGTCCAAGCTTGGTGGGAGCAGAGCCTGCCCTTCCCCAGCTCACCTCAGGGGGCCTGGATTCTAGAGTCAGGAGGCGGTAAAGATTGTCATCCAAGGATCTCTGGTTGAAGCCATCCACAGCACGGAGCACAGCCTCCTGGTAGCTGAGGGTTTGAGCAGTGGCTGGAGGTATCAGCAGGCCCAGCAGCAGCAGCAACAGTGACCACTGCCCCAGGAAGGGGCCATCCCTCTGAGTGTACATGGTCCCCAAGACTGCCTTCCCCAGCCACAGAAGCCTCCTTTATGTCCAGCCTGAGCCTGATGCAAACACTCAACCAGAGCCCTTCCTGATCCACCCTATCAGTGGATGTCAGTCAGGCTGTGGGCTGGGGCTTGCCTCAGCCCTTGTTGTTGCCTCATGAGAGGGTGGACAGTGAACGAGAGCTACCAGGTGTGAAAGATGAAGAAATAATTTCTCCATCTCCCTGAGATGGCCTTGACCTCTCCTGGACCCCCCAAGAGATTGTCATAGAGGATTACTCAAGAGGGTCGAGTTCCCCAAGACAGGAAGACAGCCAGCGCCTAGCCTATGTCCTTCTACTCTTTGAGAATCCAGGTGTGGAATTAGTGTTCACCACTAAAACTCCATCTTGAGGCACTGCCTGACCCTCAGTGGACACTCAGTTAACGTTTGATGAAGAACAGTAGCAGCCCCTCCCAGAGACAAACCACAGAAGGGAGAAGTTGCCCCTCAGTTCAAGGCCATAACATCCCATTTTCTAGACCCAGTCCTTAGCCAGTTCAGAAACTTGGCTCATATGTTTTTCTCCCCTAGATTCTTCTCAGCTACCTTTCTCAGTGTAAAAATGTCCCCAACCCCTTATAGATATGGCCTTTGGCCCTGACTCCTCCCTGAGGAAAAGCCCTTTACTCTGGTTAAGCCAGTTTTTTCACTCTCTCTCCAAGGCTGGCCAATCATTCCTAGGTCCAGTGACCATTCTCAATTCTCGATTTAATACAGGTGCAAGTGACCATTCAAACCCCCATCTCCCCATATGCTGCCCTCCTAAGTCCCTGCCTCCATATCCTCCAAGTACCATCCTCTCAATTTGAAGCTTTGGGGAGTTGCCTTGGGCTGCTTTCCCTCAGTCTTCAGTCTTCTTGGGGACATCTCCTTTCAGGACATCAGTTACAATGAACAGATACCACCTGATTTGTATCTCTAAGTTCAAGATCCCATGAATGCCCTTGGTTGTCCCCACTGGGCCCCATTGTCTTATCTGCTGGGTATACTCTGCATGAACTCTAAGCCAAAAGTCTGAAGAACAACCCACCTTCTCCTTTTTCCTCCTGGGGACACTCCGCTGCAACCTCTCCCACCACCCTTCCTGGTTCCTGCCACTTTCTCTCCATGAAGCACTGCCAAAACCTCCAGACTCCATCTTCCCCAGGTTCCAGACACCCCCAGGCCACAATCCACTCTCCACACCATTGTCCAGGAGCTCCTTTTGACCATTGGTTTGGCCATTTCGACTGCCTTTGGAAGCCCACACATACCCTGCCAAACATGAGGGCCTGTAGTCTTCTTGCTTCTGCACCATAGCTCTACACACCCCAGGAGCCAGATACACACCAATCACTTGGGCTCATTGACCCTCCTGCCCTTTCTCTGTACCCGGTCCCTCTGGCATGCCCTTTCATCAGTGAAGCTTTTCCTACCCTTCAACCAGATACAGCAACTCTTTTTCTTTGTTCTTACAGCCTCCAGAATGTCTCGATTGGATCTCCAGGCTAAGGTGGCTGGACTGGAAGTGGGGAGAACACAGTTGGAAGAGGGAATGGGTCAAAGGAATGAAGGGTCTAGAGACCCTAAGGTAAATTCTGGACCCAGCTCCTCTGTGGACTGGCCATATGGCCATGAGACCTGGGGTAACTCTTGGCTTCAGACTGTGTGGAACTCTTGAGGGCTTGGACAGGACACCCCCTGGAGGGTGGTGGCCTGGATAAATGTCACTGATTGCACAATCGGTCTTGGGAGGAGGAAGAAGAAGTGGGCTCCTCTGCAACTTAGTTTCACAGTCCAGGTGTTGCCCCAGTGGCCTCTTGGTCAAGCAGAACTTGCACATCAGGCCCTTTATAGCAGCTGGGGGAGGGATCTTCCAGGGACAAATGACCCCTTAGGGCTCTGCTGGTTCCTTTGCCTTCCTTACTAGCTTCAGGATCTCTCAGAAGTCAAACCAGGAGAGAAGATGTTCTCAATGTTAGTCCTCAGGCCAGGATGAGCCCTGCCCAGTTCTGCAGTCCCCTAGGTCAGATCCAACATCCTCTGGGCCCCTTCCTGCCTGCCTGAAGGGGTCCTTCTACCTCCTCCAGTGCTAGACTCTTCTCTGGCTTGGAATCAGCCAACGCCCCAGCAGTTGACACAAGTCCTGTGATACAAGTCAGAAGTCTGGCCTCAGGAGCATGTGCTTCTCTGTCTGGGCCATGGCATACAGTCCAGTCTTCCAGGTTCTAGGAGTGAGTCCTGTCCAGAGCAGGGTATATCTGAGTTGGCATCTATCACATAAAGTAATGAGGCTGATCAAACCCTTAGAACCCATAGCTGACTCTCCCTCTTAGCAAAGAAGGAGAAAGACTTGCACCACCTTGCCTTTTCATATGTCTCGCCCACTAACAGAGTAATTAGGGGATTCTGTGAGAGGGCAGAAATGGGTGGGGAGGCAGTGAAGCTTTTTCACATTGAGTCTTGAGAACTGAACAATTGTCCCTTCCTCCTCAACAATGATTATTCGCAAAGGCCTGGGTAACTACTGGCCCTCTGACTAGGTCTTTCTCTGAATCTGCAAGCCCCACCTTTCTAAGTAGGTCAGTCAATGGTCCCTTTCATCCTGTAGATCCAGAAGACACAACCTCTGCTCGGTATGATCAGGGAACCTGGGTCACTGAGGCTGCTGAACATTCTGGGAGATTTTCAATAGGTTAGTGAATGCCAGAGCCCTCCCCTCCACTATGAATCCCTCCCTCATAGGGGAACAAGGATCACCTTTGCCCCCTTCTCTAGGTTCCCTCCCTGGCTCCTCGTCTGTAGCCCTGGAGCCTAAAAAACAGTGGTTGTCCTGAGCGAGACACCTACCGCTGGGGCCTACTTGCCCAAGACAACTTCCATCAAGATGGCCAGATTATCTGAAAAGTATAATCTGGTGCATCCATCCCTTCAGAGAGCACTGGGAATGAAGTCCTGGGATGTGAATCCCAGAAACTGTACACAGCTTCGGTCTCTGTGGGCAAGCCACTACCCCTCTCTGTATCCAGATACAGAGTCTACAGTCAATATCACAAAGAGCCCAGGGTTTGGCAGTCTAAGAACTCAGGACCCCACTCCAGGCTGCATAGGTTCAGCTGTGATGTAACCAGCTATGTGGTCTTGGAACCATGACCTGCACTGCCTCTCAGTCTCATCATCTGAGGACAGGGATAGTAATTACAGAGCCCTGTTTATAGAATTGTTTTGTGAGCCAAATGTAACACGGCATGTGGTCAGTACATGTGAGTTGCTGTTTAAGTTGTTTGTTTGTTTTTTGGTGGGACTGGGGTTTAAACTCAGGGCTTCACTCTTGCAAAGTAGGCACTCACAAAACAGGCAGTCTATCACTTAAGCCACATCTCCAGTCCCTTTTGCTCTGATTATTTTTAGAGATGGGGTCTCTTGAACTATTTGCCTGGACTGGCCTTGAACCATGTTCCTCCTGATCTTAGCCTCCCAAGTAGCTAGGATTATCGGTGTGAGCCACCAGCACCCAGCTGTTTTAGTTGTTATTGTTAATACTTCAGGAGTAAAAATGGAGCCCTGGGGATAATGAAATTGGGGTGACTCAGCCATAAACTGATGTCCCTCAAGAAGTCATAATCCTCTAAAATGAGGGTTTTTACATAAGGTGATCCCTAAAAGTCTTTTGTATGCATTTTTACAGGATAAACCCAGACAAATAAGGCTCTAATGATGGAATTTCAAGGGCCAGTTTAAGTACAAATTTTATTATAGAATCCCAAATCGTAGTGGTATTTGGGGATAGAGGGTGGTAATAGCTCCTACATCCAACCACTACAGGAATCTTCCCACACCAAACTGAATAAAGGGACACTTAGACCCCTCCAGGGAGAGCAGGGAAGTAATCAGACATCCCAACTTGTTCATTAATTAGTTTTTCTTTTTTTTTTGTGGGGGTACTGGGGTTTGAACTCCAGGCCTCATGTTTTCTTGGCAGGTACTTTATCACTTAAGCCATTCCACCAGCCCTGTTTTGTGTTCAGTATTTTCAAGATAGGGTCTTTTTTTTTTTTTTTTGTGGTACTGGGGCTTGAAATCAAGACCTACACCTTGAGGCACTCCACCAGCCCTTTTTTGTGATGCGTTTTTTGAGATAGGGTCTTGAGAACTATTTGCCTGGGGCTGGCTTTGAATCTTGATCTCTGCCTCCTGAGTAGATAAGATTAAAGGAGTGAGCCACAGCACCTGACTTAATTAGCTTGTCTCTGAGGCCATGTTACTTAACCTCCCTGTTCCTCACTGTGCCATAAAATGGCACAGTGAGATCTACCTGGAAAGCTGCAAGGACTACAGTGACAATGAGTATGTATGCAATACCTGACACATAGTACATGTACACAAAGCACCTGAGCAGACAGCCTGCCCCTGCAACAGACCCAAGGTGGACCCCTAACTCTGCAAAGCTGCTGAGTGAGAGTGTGCAGCAGCCTGGCACTGGCTGCACACTTGGCTCAACCTTTACTTCTGGCAAGTTGCCTCTTCTCATTAAGTCTCAGTTTTGTCGTGCAAAAATTGGGGACAATAACCCCACACCTGCCTCTCAGCAGTGCTTTGGAATCAGATACATATTCAGAGACAGAAGTTTCCTTCTCTATTCCTGGGGTATGAAGCTGAGTGTGCCTACACCCTATGACCAACAGAGGGTGCCACCCTCAGGCTCTGCCCCGACTCTGAGCAATTCTTCCTTTCAGGCTTTCTGCTTCCTTTCACAGGCAGGACTATATTGCTAACAGACCTAGGGTGGGGAGGTCAACAAGCAACATCATTTTCCAGCTGCATAACTTTGAGCAAGTTGTTTTGGTTTCCTGGAAATATCCTTGTCTGTAGGATGGGAATGACATGCCTTACAGTGTTTGTGTGGGTGCAAATGAAATAGTGGGTGAGAAAGTGCAAGTCCACTGTCAAGATCTACGTTCCAGGGCATTTTTGTGAGTGAAGTCATGGTCAAGTCCCTTTGCTCTGCATTGCCT